CTGCGGAAACAGTCAGGAATGATGCTATTGACAATGAAACAGACGATTCGGCAGTGGTGGGCTGAGGCGGATCGCATGATGCAGGCGGAACTTCGGCTGGATAGTCCTGGAAGCCGTAGCACAAGCGACATAGTGATCGACTTAGTCGAGTGTATCAACGGATACGAAGAAGCTTGCCGAGCCACGGATTGTGCGGAAGCCCGTTTCCACGAAACCATCACGGACCGTATTCGTGTGCAGCGAAATACCGACGAAGAATGCACTAGGAATAATGAAAATTGACACGGCGCCCAGAACTGGCTTCAACAGGAGTCGATGGTAGCTCGGAGACCGTATGGCAATCCCCCTGATTGTGCTCGCTTAGCAAGATCCCGTCACCAAGATGTACGAAGCTTCTGGGTTTGTTTGGTATGGGTTCGGTCGTGGAGAAAATCGGTGATGCAAGAGCGGATCTGTCATCCTATACAAGACATTTAATGAATAGGAAAAAGGAGCCCCAACGGCTGCTTCTGAAATATATTCCAGTGTTACCTCTTCCGATCGTGCTGCAATGCTTGTCCCTTGGCCGTATCGGATCATTGATTGTAATGAGCCTAGCGTATGCCCACTACTTCGGCTTACACGTGTGCGCATGGGAATGACGAAGTGCAAGTAGTTTTGTTTAGATTAACTATACTTTCGTCCATAAGCATAGATTTACTTAAATAAGTAAAACAAAGTCGATTTACGGTAAAGTGATAACTTTTATTTTTGATTTTATTTCTTTGTTTGGGTTTCCTCCTATAAGTGATATTGCCTTGAAAGCTACTTGCCAACAACTCGTTGGCAAAGTCCTACTGATGTAAGTGGTAGAAAGATGTTGTCTTTCCACCAATAGGAAGCCTAGATGCATGCAGACCCGTCGTCTGCCAAATGCAAGCATTGATGTGTAGCACACCAATTTGGTAACCCTTCTAACCAAGTGGCTACATCTAGCCACTTGAGTGTAACCCCGTTACAAAATGGCACATTGAACCTGTAGGTTTGCTTCCATAGAAGTCGGGAGCTTAGCCACAACAGGAGCACGCCGTTGAGACATCTTACAAAATAATTTGTAATTGGCTTCATCGTAATATACAATAAATGATCCGCGACATCCATGTTCCAGAAATGCTTTACCGTAACGTCTACTCTTTTCAATGTTCGTAGCATTATTGCAGCTTTCTCGTTCAACGCAAACCCGTAACAACACGTTAATACACTTAAAAATGAGTAGAAAGATTGTTATCAAATCTGTTTCACTGTATACAGTTTGTCACACAACTTCGTGCAAACTCAAATCAAAACTTATTGCGCACCTTCGCGAGCGTGTACTGGCAGTTGTCCCCCAGGCACTCGACAAAGACGTCTTCCATAGAGGGCGTGGGCTTAGAACACGCTGCACGCGCTCCTTCCCGTTTCTTGGCGTCGGTGAAGCCACCCTGAACGCATTGCGCGCGATGGTAGACGTATGCCGTCTCGCGACCAGCTCCCAGTCTCGTCCCTCTCTGTGTATGCAGTAAAAACCCGCTTACGGGCTGAGAGTCCGTGCTTTGGGTCCTTGCCCACAACACGTGCTGGGAAGAGGAGGAAGGGGGGGGGGGGGGGGGGGGGGGGGTCACTACTGACCAATGCATTACACTAAATCCAAAGTGCTCTAAAAAAATTTATAAATATATTTTTGGTATTTGGATGCTACTACGGTTTCTTCCCTCCATTTAGGTTTACACAACTAGCCAACTAGGACTGGCGAAGCCAAAGCGTAGATATCAATATCATTGGTACTGCGTGTTTCCTCCGGGTGGAAATGATTGCAATAACAATCATATGGGTATTTCATGATATTCTTCCTAACACGTGAGTGGCCTGCGGATTTCTGCTTTGGTTGCATGGATTCCTGTTGCCTGAAGTCTTCCAAACACTACAAAAGCTGCAATATTAATAGAGTAATGCTAAAAAAAAAAACTATGAAACAGTGTTTCAGATTCAGAGCGGATTGTCTTTGACAAAAAAAGTCGGCTTATAAGGAAAACCGATAAAGGGAGAATCTGACATGTAGAATTATAACAAAATATTATGCAGAATACAATCTTCAGTTTTAGGCGCTGTTCGTTGATGCAGCGGTAACATCGGTGAACTTGGCAATCAACGCTGTTTAAAATTGAGAGCGGTATTTCTGGCGAATTGTTGAGTCTATATCACTGATATGGATGAATATCCACGCCTTTCCGACAGTATATATGGCCGTGGGAAATATTTGCAAATATTAACCAATGACATTCTTTAATTATTGAATATGAGCAAATAGAATTTGTTAGGGTTAGGTGTTTGCGTTCCGACACATTCCGACAAATATTTGTCGGAATCACTGGTCAAATACGAATATGTAGATACAATTTTTAAGAATAACAAATAGTTTTGAAATATCTGGCAGTTTGTACAACTAGGCATTATCCTAAAGTAGGCTACAGGTAGCACGCAACTCTTTAATTACCAAACACATCTCGAAAAGCACGCGACACATAATGAGCCTAACTGCGTTCGTGCCTACGAATACCCAGAAGGCTCGCACCACCGCAATAGCCGCCTTCAAGCGAATGTTAGAAGAGGAGAATATCAGCATGGACTTTGTTCAAGCTAGTATTCTTTTGGGTACATCTGGCAAGCGGTTGGCAGCGACCATGGACCGCTTTGGCTTCTATCTCGCCACATCTGACGGTAAGAAAGGTAAGCTTGCGCGAAATACTGCGACTTTTTATCATAGAAATATAAAACTGTGACTTTACGATCAGTACCCTCATCTACGTGTACCTACTGAATTGATCTTGCTTAAGCAAGGCGAGACATTGGACAAGCATTGTTTGAAACGAGAAAAGGGTGGCTTGATCAATAAGACTCCTCCTTGTACTAAGGAGGATTTACGGTCACTTATCCGTTATGTATACAGCACGGCTCGTGTACATGCCGACTACCAAGATGCAGCGCTAGCTTGCTTGATGTGGCACTGTTTTGGCCGTTCATCGGACCTAGGCTACATACACAAGCAACACGTGTCCGTTTCAGCGGACGGAACCTTCTACCTTCGCCTTCTTCGCGTCAAAACGTCGGAGGAGTAGGGGCTTACCTTGATTCTAGACAAGAAAGATTTCTTGACTTTCCTGCTGCATGCTATGGCGGTTGCCTTGGCGACGCAGGAAGCACCAAGCATGGCGCTGCTGGACCAGCTACCTAACCTTATCTCCAAAGCAGACGTGCCGCTGGATACGGGGGAGCCACTTCAAACGTTGCTGGATGCCGAGCCAACCCCGCTGCCAGTCAGTGTTGTTCCGACGCCTTCTCCTAGCATCCCCGTTGACACTGCACGTCCGTCACCTCCTGGTCCGCCTGCCCCTCCAACTGAATCCACAACGCGCTCCAGAGATACGAAGAGAGGCGGAGATGGCGTACAGGCGTACGTGAACCGACTGTTGAAGCGTGTCGCCGAGCCTGCATGCACCACCTCTGCCTTGACATCGCATTCATTCCGGCGTGGAGGAGCGCAGCACGCGAATGGAGACGATCATCTTGCTGCACAGTGGAGTTTTGATCGCGGTGCCTGGGATATGACGAAGACGAACAAGGCCTTCGCCTACATCACTAATACAGCGCGGGAGGACAGAAAGGTCGCCAGGGTCTTGAGCGGCTGGGGGGCTGACGAGAAGCCGACAAACCTAGATGTGGCAGCACTCGATCATGCTAGCCAGGAGCGCCTAGGTTGCTTGCAGCGTTTCCTGTTCAGCTCCTGTTCTGATCTCAAAGAACAACGACTAAACGTCAGTACAAAGGTACTTGGCGTTCTTACAGCGTACCTCATTCGGTCCTATCCGCAGTTAAAGGACCTGGCGCCTACGGCTTCTATCGTTGCACGCATGGAGGGGTGCTTAGAAGCTGCAGGCATCTCAATAGCCGACTTGCACCAATGGTCGGTGGCTTTACACAACGAGGCTTCTCAACCTGCACAAGATCAACAAGAAGAACAAGATACAGGTAAACACGTATGCCCAAGCAAGGATCACCTTCTCGCTGTAATTCAGGAGCTATAACGTCGAACAAAGCACTAACTGCGCGCTTAACAATTCTGGAGGCAGCCCAGACGAAGCCTACAAACAACAAAAGAAGAACCGAAGATACACAAACCGCAGTAGCATTAGAGCAAGGTCCCAATCCCAAGCGCAGAAAAAACAAACAACCCACCTTGCCGCCGCGTGGTATGAATGGTACACGCGGATGCCTCGCGTCTGGGACTCCGCCGACCGCCAGAAGAATCGGAATCTCGGCATGTCGTTGCCTTCACGAAGCTGTTTTTGGACGGATGCTTCCAACTCGATACCATGGTTAAGAATTACAGAGATTATGTCCTCGAGACTGGAAGCCACGGAGAAGAAGCATTGCTAGCGTTTCTAAAGGAGCGAGGCATCAATGCAAAACGAGCCGGCAGCGTCCTCCGTGCGATGCGCCCTCTACATAAGCCTGGTGTCTTCAACGACCTTATCTCTGTGTACAAGCGCCTTTTGCCTTCGGTAGCATCAAGGATCCTGCACCTGTCGACACCCAGGATATACTACCAGTAGTAGATAATGTATAAGCAGTAGTAGCGCAATTATCCATTTATCCATTGCCAATACGAAACTCACCTTACCGAGTTAGACCAAAATACAGCTTGTCGTGTTAGGCCGAATTATAGCTTGTCGAGTTAGGCCGAAAAACACCTTGACGAGTTAAGTGATGACAACGATCCCTAAAATCTTAGCATTTGCGGCTTCAATGCTTTCGACGGCGCTCAAAATGGTGAATGGTTGAACACCACACGACCACTAATTTGATACTACGGAATTTTGCCAATCAAAACGTGCAATAAAAAAAAACAATGTTTTGTTTGAACCAATTAGAAAAATGCCATCTGTCGAGTTGGCCCGAAATACGCCATTTCGGAATTTGACGAGATGACGGGCGGTGGAAATCACTCAAATGCTGTCAAGATCGAAGTACTGCTGCATTGCGAGGAGAAGGGTTGGGATGCCTCGGAGGGGTCCCGACAACTGGGCATTCAGCGCACGACATTGCATAGATGGATGGAAAGTAAAGACGACATCTTCTCCTCAGCATTTGATCCATCTGCGAAACGCACAAAACGCTCAGGAGCTGCTCCACCAACACTTCCTTACGATACTACTATCGTTAAGTGCGTGAAGCAGAAGGTGGGAAATGTCCAAGAAGTTTACCGAAGGGATATTTTTGCCGAGGCCATCCTGACAATCCCAGGATTTAGTGAACGTGGGTCAGCTGCTCAAGGATCCTGAGCAACTCGGTTCATTAACCGCCGCAATCTCAGCAGCATTGTATCCGGCCTCATAGCGAAGAAAAAGAAAGAAAGGCGGTGGTAGTAAATCAAATACGAACAAAAAAGACCAAGCCACTTGTGTCGAGTTCACCCGAAACACCCAAGCCGCCTGTGTCGAGTTCACCCGAAAAACCCAAGGCTCAAGTTATTTTGCTGGATAATGAGTCGAGTGAAGACTTCGTTCCAAGCGATTTTGGAGATGAAGCGATACCACAAGCCAGTATTATACGCGAAATTAAATCGCCATGTTTCGTCCCTGGTAAAAGCAGCACGCGTCTGGTAATTACAGACCATGACGTCAAAAAAATTCAGGGTGAGAATTGGCTAAATGATGTAGTCCTCACATACTACTTGAGGTCTAATCTTCCTTAATATGGAAGGACTTATGTCATGGATGCGAATCTGGGCACATTTTCTTGGAATTCGAAATGCACAAGAGAAACATCTCGGCCGCTCACCAGAAATGTTGTATGCTTAGAGCAACATTTCCGAATGAAAAGTACGACCGGTTGATCATTCCCGTGTGCATGGGATTTCATTGGACCTTCGCAATCGTTCAAAATCCAGTACTAACTACCAAGAATCTGAGAAGATGTATGATTCACGTCGACTGCCTTGGTGTTTCGAAGATCGAAACAATCAAGACAGCAGCGGGTATTTTGATGAAGAACTGAAGAAACAATATCCAAGTACAACCGCACCCGATTTCGTCGTCCGAGGAATTTGCACCAAGCCTATCCAAAAGAACTCGCATGACTGTGGAGTATTTATGCTCTACTTTATCAAGCGGGCATATGTAGAATTCATGCAAGACAACACGCAACTTCTAAGCGACATTGAGAAGATTGCACTGCCCCGTGATCAGCGCGCTTTAACACCAGTATGCTGAGAAAGGATATTTTACAACAGCTTACAGAGTCGAATTAAGTTGTAAATCAAATACAGTAATACATTCATTACACGTTAGATAAATCCACAATAAAACCCACTTGCTGCTACCATTTGCGCCACTTCTCGCTGCTACGCGGCTCCTACCGCACACCACGGCGCGACCCATACCCCACGGCCCCTTCCGCACACGACCGCCGCCGCTTCTCTGCAAGTCGCACTACTGTGCACCGCCCTGCTCTGCATCGCCCTTAACCACTGCTGCACTGCACGTTTACACTGCGCTTTACTGCTCACCACCTCTTCCACGACCCGCTGCTCAAAGCTGCTGCCGCTCTTCATGTCTCTCCACTGCACGCTTGCCAGCTCCCTATCCTGCCGCATCGCGTCCTACAGCTCACCACCACTGCCACGCCTCGCGCTCTTCCCTGCTGCACGTCACCATCTCTCCACCGCACGTGCACTCCATGGCACGGCTCCCCCTTGCCTGCGCTAAAACTTGAACGCATTCTTCGTTCAGGGACCCCCCACCCCCTAGTCTAATGGCGACGGCGGGTATCGATCCCGCTCCACAGGGCAAGCCCTGCGCTCATCCTTTGAGCTTCGTCGTCGAAATTGTGGGCGGGGGTCGCTAAGCTCCGTGTCGTTAAGCCACAAAAAAGAAGAATGATGTCGAATAG